TGTGAAAGGGTTAATGTGGCATGTAGTGTAAAAAGCGCTTTGAGTGGTCGGAAGACTAGAAAGGCGCTATAAACGTACAGTCCATTTACCATTTACATGTCACAGTAGGGAAAGCGCAGGTGTAAATAATAAAATGAATGATGGCTGAATTCCATCTAGCTGCTATGGTTCCAAGGTTGTGCTAATGTGCATGCTGACTCACTGTCACATTGTCATGGCTTATTGGGAACAGAGTCATCATTAAATGTTATTAGTAACACTTCTCCTACTATGATGAGACAAAATGTCTGCTGTGAAAAGGGTCTAATTTTGAGCTCTAGTGTGTTCCATCAAGATCTGATGAGCCAGTCTCGCTCATGGTGATTTTCTTCATCTTACCTACTCATATAAGTGATAATGCCAGCACTAGGACTCACAGATCTATCAGTTAATGCTATTTGGTTGCCACTTAAGATGAGACAATAATGTGTTTCCGGATTAGTCAGATGTCATTTTATTTTTACACTCACATGGAAAGGTTTTTGCTCCAACAGGGACTTCCCTCTGCTATCAAATAGTAGTGGATGTTGACAGCATTTCTTTTTTGTGTTGTGGAATTTCCCTCTACACAGAAAATCAATACCATGGAGAGTGTGTTGCATTACAATGTCCATGTCGCAGGAATCGTGGTGCAGGGATCTGTTCAATGTTATCCAGAGAGGAGCAACCTTTATTGAACTGAAAATCTTTTCAGATGTGTCAGTTTTTTTCACTGTAAAATGACATGCTCCCCTAACAAGCTGCAATATTAAATATTGGTTTTCATATTAATAGTTTTCTTCATAGTTGACCTCTGCTACACTTCACTCAGAGGATTTTTAGTAGAATTTATTCTATGAATTTGTTGCTTTGCTTTGTTGCTTTGGGATGACTTTAAAACATACAGTATAGTTGCTGATATTTGTTAGATATAATTTTCTTGGTTTCTCCTTTATATTGTCTTATTCAGTGTCTATTTCTCTGCTCACCTTCTTTCTGCCTCCTAATTCATTTCCATTAATTTGAGTAAATGTAATGGCGCACTCGCATCATGGAGATATTAAACATTTTATTCATTTAAACAATAACTGGATTGCACACAATACAGTATTCAACCAGACTTACAGTCCCCACACACACTTATGCATAATGCACATATTGCTCTCTCTGACT